TATTCCAATCGGTATAAATTTTAAAATGACGTATGTCAATTTAAAATCAACATAGATCATGAATCGACGTATAACATATACATTATAAACGTATTTCTTTTTATTTATTTATCAAATTTACAGTTTGAAAAAAAAAAAAAAATTTATATACTGTATATTATCTTAGAAAATAGAGGAATTTATTTAAAGGGAATGATTTATTTAATAAGCATAAATGCTTTAAAATACTTAAAATTGCGTACTTCATAGAATTTTTTTTTTTTTTTTCAACAAAAAAAAAAAAACAACACCGTTAACTACTTAAAACCTCCCACCTTAAGTCATCATTCACCGAAAGAGATATAACGATGATACTTTTTTTTTTTTTTTTTTTCCACGATTTTAAATACAACTTATTTAAAAAGTATCATATATATAAGAAAATTGAATTGGGGGAAAAAAAAAAAAAAAATTTATCCATCAAAATATAATAAAAATTCCCTCCTAGATGAGATTTCTTTTCATCATAATATATAAACCACGTAAAATATATATATGTAAGAGAAAAAATTTTAATAAAAAAAAAAAGGTGAATTCATTTGTAAGAAAGAAAAAAAATCACAAATATCTTGGATATATAACAAAAAGGATAATTATAAAAAAAAAATAATAAGTAATACTATATATAATATATAATAAATGGAACTAAAAAAAAGAAAAAAAAAATGTTTTTTTTTTCTTTTTTAAAAAAAAGATTTTTTTTTCATCAAATGAAAAATAGGGGAACCCAAGGGAAAAAATAGAAAGAGATTGCAAAAAATTAATTAAATTTTAGCAAATGTTCTTCCTTTCATGTGAGAACAAAATAAACCGACGTCCTATAACCGTAACGGAAAGCAAGAGCGAGAGAGAGAGAGAGAAGGCAATCGATGATTATACACCTTTTTTTTTTTTTTTTAAAAAAAAAAAAAAAAAAAAAAAAAAAAAAAAAATATCATGCCCTACTACAATCTGTACACGGCCCTTTGTTTGCGCATTTTTTTATTTCTGAATTGATGCGAATACACAGCCGGGAATGCAGAAACGAGAATTTTTTTTGGACAAATAAGAAAGTTGTTTTTGTTTTCGTCTTTTTTTTTTTTTTGCCATGAGTGATATAATTTTGTTTTTAAATCACAAAAATTACATTGCAAAAAAAAAAAAAAAATAGTAAAATAAAAAGAGAAAATATAAAAATATATATATATATATAAATTGAACCACTATGGCATATATTTTAACAACTATGGGGTAAAAAAAGATCGGTAAAGTCCATAAAAAAAATATTTATTCTCGGAAAAATTACGCTGCGTTTTCGAGATTGTTTTTTTTTTTCCAACCACAAGAAATAAAGGGAATTATTAAAAAAAAAAATTTTTTTTTTTTCTTTTTTTTTTAAATAAATTGAAATTTTTTTTTACATCTTTCCACAAGTAGCATTATGTCTCTTCCAAGCATCTTTACGAGAAAAAGGTTTTCGACAAACGGAACATTCATGAACTTTTTCACCTTTATGAATGCCATTTATATGCCTTTTTAAATCATGTTTTCTAGTAAATCTTGAACCACAATTTGGATGTTCACAGGCAAATGGTTTAATACGATTAGGATCATGAGTAGTTCTATGAGTTTGCATATTAAATTTTCGATTAAAACCACGACCACATTCAGGACAATTATATTTTTTCTCATCACCATCATCTTCAACGTCATCATCATCAAGATCTTGAGAGACACTCCTTTTTTGACGTTTACTACGACGAATTGGTTCAGAATGATCACCAGGTTCATCATCTTTACGAGGTCTAATAGCTACCAAATGAGGAGTATTTACAGGAGTAGTATGAGTGGAATCACTAGAATGATTAGGAGATTTTGTTCCAGAGTTAATAACATCATTAACATCAGTGATAGAAGGACGAGAATCTTCTGAAGCATGTTCAGGAACAATTAATGAAGGAGATTTTTCAGAAGTGGAAGTACTATTAGGAGTACCAGGTACAACAGCAGCAGTAGATTCAGAAGAGATATCAAGTTTTTTTTCAACTTCAGAAACGTTATTTTGAGAAATTGTAGCCATATTAATATATTGAGGAATAGAATTATGATTATTAGGGAATAAAGAAAACCAATTATTATTATAACTTTTCTCGTATAATTCCGGGTCTTTTAAAGTAAGGTGATTTAATTGTTGATCAATAAATGGGGTGTATGGAGTGTCCGGAGTTTGAGGAGCGATATATGGAGTAGTATTTCTTGAAGTATCAGAAAAATAAGGTTCAGGTTCAAAATCCGAAGGTTGTTCGTAAGGAGTATTAAAAATATTTAATGGAGTAAGAACAGGGGTATTAATATTAATAGTTCCCAAATCAGAGTAACCGGGAGTTGATATCAAATGAGTTGGTTGCACTACCCCAACGCAAGGTGAATAAGGTGAAAAAAGTAAATAAGGTGAATTTGTAAGAATATTATTATCTTCAACAGAAGTTGTAACAGAGAAAGGGGATGAATGAGGGGAATTAAAAACGTTATTTGTATGAAGATTCAAAGACGGATTGTTGTTTATAGAATTCCCGTGTGGCGAAGTTGTAAAGTTAATTGATTGGTCTAATTGAGTGTAACCTAAATTTTCCAATAGAGGTGATGATTGGATGTGATTATCAAAAGTAGTGTAAGAATCGACGTAACCATCTACATGACCAACTTGTCCAATATTTGGATAAAAATCATTAGGAGCTTCGGTAGTAGAAGAATTAGTTTCTTGAGAATAAATAGGAAAGTCGAAGTCAGAATTAATTATAATGTTGTTGTTGTTGTCAGTAGGGGAAATCGTCGATTGTGGGAGAGGAGAGCTTAACACCATTACTTGATTGGGAGAATAAAATTGGAAAATTTCTTCAGACATAAATTGGTCTTGATTAAAGTGGTTGTTTATTGAACTTGCCTCCACAATAAAAAAGTCTTTTGTGTTGACAAGATCCAAGTTTACAAAAAAATTTACGAAAAAAAAAATTTAAAGGTTGATTTGATGAAATGAATCAATAAAAATTGAATAACCTCCCCTTAGTGGGAATGAGGTTTATTTATTTCTTTTAAATTTTGTTCGTTTCTCGATAAAAATAATAAATCGAGATGAAAAAAAAAAAAAAAAATGATATATCCACGAACTTTACTTTTTTTGTTCGTGGAAGTATTTGAGGAAAAAAAAAAGAAAAATTAAGGATAACAAATAATAAATATAGAGAAAGACCTCTTGAAGATAAAAAAACAAATAAGAACTGTCGTTAAAAAATTTGGTTTAATAAGTCAGATAAACCCTTAAAAGTGGTAAAGAAAAAAAAAAAAAAAAAACAAAAAAAAGGAGATGGCAACTTTTTGAGCTCTTTTTATCCTTTCTTACGTTCAAAATTTATATAGTGTAATATAAAATATTTAAAATATTTAAACATAGTAATCTAAATTATTTAATTATTTATATTATAAATTATTATAAATCACACAATTCTAGAATTACATAAAAAAGGGTGGTGTAAATTAAGAACCAACATATTGGGGATATTTGAATCAACATCTAACGCAAATCGGTGATTTTAGAGAAATCCGCAGCCACTATCATAAGACTTTTCAACTTTTTGTGAATAGTAAACAATGACACAAAATATGAACTAAGATAAATTCCGATTGAAAGAACAACATTAATTGGTTACTAACCTCACGCCAAATTCTTTTAATATATAGAAAGTTTTCAAAGATAAATCTTGTGAATAATATGATTAATCTTATGAATAATGGTTGAAATACTATTTCACTTTATGTTGGAAAATATAAATGACGTACGTAGGAAGAATCATGTTATGGAGACCTGATTATGGAACAAAAAAGGATACAATGTTTGAAATTGGGCATGGCGAATACTAAAGAGGAAAAAGAAGTTCTAACGTATCATTCTTTCATATGCATTTCGGGAGTTCAAATTCCGATTCAGGAGTCAAACGACATCCCAACATTCAGCACATCATACCTTTATTTATTTGACGCACCGTGAAAAATTACTTTATTTACATGACGCTTATGGGTAAACAGTCTTTGGCGTAATTGTACCAATAAAATTTTGAGTTGTTATCCTTGTGCATTGCAGTTGAACGTGTAAACTGGACTAGACAGTCAGTCAATGGAAACTTTGTTAGACAACAAAACTCATGCATGATTATTAATACAAAATATTTTAATAATTGTTGATAAAAATAACAAGAGTCCAAATGTGATTTTATAAAAAGTTATAATCGGTCGTTTTTGATAAAATATCTGATAAGACTTTAAATGCTTTAAATGAACTTCTTATTATGATATAAAAAAAAAATATATAATAGTATATATATATTATAATATTTATTCTTTATCACAGTGATAGATTAAAAATATCTGGTTTGAACACAAGAAAAATTATCGGAGTTGTTCTCCGTTATAGAATTATAAAAAAGTGTAATAAAGTGTATTATTATTAGTAACCGTTTGGTTATTAATATATACGTATAATGTAATTCTAATTTAATTATTTTAAATTATGAAATTTTTCTATTGTGTGCCTGTGAATGGAATAAGGTAATTTTTATGCTCACAAATTTCCGCTATCTTATCAGTATTTTAATCACTGCACTTTTCGTAAAAATGGAAAAATAATTTGGCTTTCTCTTTGACTTTTATCAGGTGACCGTACCCGGAAGAATACTTTTGGATTGACAAGATCTACAATTGGAAAAGCATGCACGTGTAGTTTTAAATAAAGTAATAATGTTATAATAGATCATCATGCATTTTTTTAAAATTCTAAGACATTGGTTGTACAAAAATTACAAGAATGTATAAAAATGTCAAGAATGTACAAGAATGGATCAGGATTACGAAATACCAACAGGATGGTAAGCTTTACATAAAATCTACGCATATACTCATATATTATTATACTAGAATATAACGTCAGGGTTTTAAGATAATCTTTATATCTATTAAGTGTTATTTAAATGGTGGTCAAACTTTTTTTGTTTCAAGTAATTTTTGAATGTATGCTATAATGATTTTTGAGTCTACATATTCTAATATAAAAATATTAAGTAATATTACAGTAATATTACAGTACGTATTAGCAAAATTTTATTAATCTTGACAAGTTAACAGTTAATTAATCAATCATCCTGTTATTACTACATACGGATCGATCCGATTCTGTTTAACAGATTTAGAAATCAAAAAAAATCCATTACCATTATGCATCTATGCACATGGGAATATTAGTGAATCATTACACTTATACGTACAAGTAAAAGTTTACTTTTGAAGTGAAATATTATTATTTATACGTATTATTCGGATTATTTTGATTGTTCTTCTTTGGACTAATTAATCCTTTTTATTAATCTTTTTAAACTTTAATTAATGCGATCTTGGAAATATATACTGTACTGTATTATCACGTGATAAATATAAGAGATAAATATAACGATAGGAGATAAATATATACAGTAAGAGATAAATATAAGAGATAAATATATACAGTAAGAGATACAAGTGAAGATAAATTTCAATATTGGTTTATATAAAGGTCCTCATCGATAATCGTAATGAATTACTAATTAACTGAATTGATTGACTTTGTTTATGAGTAAAATGTTACATCCCATGCGAGTTGAGTTCTACAAATTTCTGCGGCAAAGCTCATAGTGCTGCGGTTACTTACTCTGGGAGGTCTGTTCCCGTGTAACGTGATACTATCCTTTAATATCTTGGCGGGAGGGTAGGCCAGTCCGATTGTGAATCCAATTGTTTTAAATTTAAGGTTTATCCAATAAGCTATAAAGAGATAAGTAAATAAGGTTACTCTAGATAAGCATTTAGTGGCATGATTTTAACATTTCACACGTATGATGAACGGATTGTTCCAAAAAGAAGGGTTAAATCTTGAGAATGTGTAATTGATGTGCCACACATGGCTAATGTAACATTTAATGTGACTAGCCACTGAAATATTTACCAAAAGTGTATGGGAAATCTTTCGGTCTTTCCGATCATTAACGTTAAATGTTATATAAACAAATATGTGCAAAAAAATCAATCGGATTAAACTGGAATTATCAGAATGACTCATTTTTTGCTTAAAAATCAAGGGGTTTGTGTAGTGCCACTTTATGTTTCAAGCCACGGCATTTTTTAATATTCTATGTGGAAATTCTTATCAAGCCACCATCATAATTATATAATCCCAATTACTTTTATTAGAATAACTCAAGTTTTCTTTAAATATTTTT